GTAGAGTATTTATACAAAACCTACCAACATAAGACAGGAAACAATATTCCTAAAAGATATACTACCATAATTATAAATCCTAAAGATATATTCTCTAAATATATCTTAACATAAAATAAACCTAAATATATTATTCTTTTAATGATATCTAAGGAAAATATATCAGACATATATTTTCCGATATCACATATCTCTAACAATTCTCTTTAATACTATTCTTTTATCTTCTTCATGGTTAGCTTTCTAAATACAAATACCTATTTCAATGCTATAATTTTATATTAAAGTATTATTTTACAAGAGTATCATAGTCCATGCACATTAGTTTTGAGTTTATAATGTGACAACCTTATGGTTATGCTATTTGCAAGGTATATTCGTGATTGAACTTTAAAAGTGCGAAGTGTTGATTGATATTCGGAATCAAGGTACGTGTAGGTGGCTAGATACCTTTGAAAGTGATTGGTTTGAATACATATTTTGAATGATTTTATGATGATTGAATTAAATTGGCTTGAATTATGAAATAAATTATATTTGGAGGTATTGATTTTTAATATTTGTTTTAGGTTAATAAAAGTATTTTGAATGATTGAGTTTTTCATGGTTTGAATTACTTATCATGTTTAAATATAGAACTTGTTTTTAAAAGGTTTGTTGAATTAAATAAAAGATTTTTCAAGGAAGAGTTATTGATTTTGAAAAGTTATTAATATGAGATTTTATTCTCAAGTATTTATTTACAAGGTTCATTATATGAAAGCATGTGGAATTAATTAAAAAGGATTTTGAATTATATTGGAATTATTAGATATTAAAAGGATTTATTGAACCATTGAATTATTATTATTAATGCTTTTAAGCATGTTGGTAATCCCACTATTTAGATTTGGTTTATTGATAAGGCCTTGGACTTTGTATGACCGGGTCTATCCTCAAGAATAGCTTTGTAACATAAGGAGACTAGCTTGGGGGTGTGCACACTTGGGTGAAGAATTGGATTAAAAAAAAATTGGTTCTTAATAAATGAATTGGTTTTATTAACTATTATTATTGGAATTGGTTTTGAATCATGAGTTTGCAATTATTGGATTATTTATTTGAATTGGTTTTAAAAGCATGTTTGCGAATAAATTGAATTAACATTATCTTGCACTTATCGTACTTAGCATATTTTGCTAACCCGTTTTTTTTTGTTCGCCCTGTTTACCGTAATGGTAAGCAGTGTTGACTAATTTCAAGTGGAGTCATTAATTGAGCATATGGAGTCCCAAGAATGTCTTCACCTAGATTAGGAATGTTGGTCTTTGCACTTTATTTTGAGTACTCATAACAATGTTATTATTTTTATAAGTATTAATAAAAGAAAGTTGAGTTTCCGCTGCAAGTTATGTTATTGAATTAAGTATTTTGAGTAGCCTTGCATAATTACACAGCGGTAATACGCCCAAGTCTATCTCTACGGTATAATTAATTATAGGTATTATACTGGTATTTTTGTAGAGGAAGATTTGGGGGTGTTACGGTCTTTAACTCTCCTATTTGAATCATTCTCGGTATTGTGCTTCTTGATATGTTAAGTATTCGTGCAACATTTGTGATGCATGTCCTTTCTCCTATACCTAGCTTACTGATTTCTTCTTCTAGAATTTGGACCCTTTTCCTCCCTACAAGATGATACTTTATGCATGATTGTATTTTTTGGTTTGCATTTTTTGCTTTTTAAAATCATACCACAATTTGCTAATAGGCCTTTTTGATGTATTGAACATCTTCATTGCTTTATTATTGATTGTTCCTCTTTTTTTAATTATCCCCTTAAGAATTTCTTAACAGGAAAATGGCCCATTATACCTCTTTTGACCTATTCAGATGCTTTGGTGAGCTGCTGATGAGTGTCATTTATGGCACTCATTTGGCTTCCTTTAGGATGATTCTCATGCTATTTTATAGCTATTTTCCTTAGTTTTCCTTAGTTTTGTTCTTTATTTCGTTAGTTTGTGCTTTCCGTAGTTAGTCTCCTTGTTTTGTGCATTTCTTTGTTTATTTGTTCTTTTTCCCTTTTATTTGCTTGTTTTCGTTTGTTTTTAGGTTATGATCGTTTTTCCAAAGATTCCCGAGTCTTCCTCTCTTATTTCTCATCAATTTGGATGCTTTATGTTTGCCTTTTGGAGCTTTAAGTTTGAAGGAACGCAAGGAGCAAGTCAAGAGATCGGTGCACGCATGTGGTGGGGGCATCATCCTTGAGATGAACCCGCCAAAATATCCATTTCGAGACCGCCTACCTTAGTGTTCATCATCAACACCAAGACGAGCGCACGAGGATGAGCTAGGACGAAGAAAGAGGGGAAGTGCCCTGCTGCCAGATGCGGGCGCGCACAAGGGTGGTGAGGGCGCACCTCCTCTTGCCCCTGTTCCGTACCCATTTTCCCGCGGCCGCGCCTCTTCCTTGATGCGACCGCACCTTCCGGGTTTTCTTTTGGGACGATCTAACTACTTCTTCTTTTGTATCTTTCTATATATAGTCTTTCCTTCTATTTTTAGAGAGAGAATAATTTGAATAGAATTAGAATTAGTTTTTGATCAAATTAGAGAGATTTTTAGAGAGAGAAACTCTAGGTTTGAGTGAGAGAAATTCATGGTGGATTGTTGATAATTAAAGCTTTCGTTAATTCCTTTGATTTTTGATCAAGATTGTAAGATTTCCTTTTCTTTAATTCAATCTTTAGTTTGATTTCAATTGTTTTGTTGAATGTTCAAGTTTGATTGAAGTTTGATTGATTTGTGATTTGATTTTAGTTTGTTCAATTTGATGATGACGAATTTGTTGTTTTGCTTTGTTTTGATCTTGATTTCGATGGATTGTGAGTAGTTAGATTGCTAGGGTAATGGTCAAGCATGTATGAGTAATGGATTAATGCTACTTGGGGAAAATTGATGGAGTTGATGATGTGATTAAATTTGGTTGATGATCATGTGCATGTGTGTGATTAATTAAAGAGTAGCTAACTTTAATTGTTGCACTAGATTGCATTGTGAGTTCACATTGATACGGACCATTGATTTGTGGCTTGCATTTACACGATTGAGGTGTCTTGTGATGTTTCCTAGCTAGAGTTTATCGTAGTTGACGCTAGTTAGACCTCTAGGAGAATAGCTTGATATGCTTTTTTGGTTGCATGATTGATCTTCCCTCACATTGAATGACTTAGCCAATTTGACCTCCCAATTAGTTGAATCCATTATGACTACATGTGGATCCTAGCCCTAGTGCTTATTGCATTTGCTTTCTTCTCGTTTATTTGCCGAGTTTGTCCTAGTATAGAATTCATACCCTAATTCTAGACTTCGGGATAGCTTAACTATAGACAATAGACAATAGCCCACCATTCCTTTGGGTTCCTTTGGGTTCGACCCTTGACTTACCATATACTACTATAGGGTTGGTTAAGTGTTTATAAATTTTGTTTGACCTTGGGTAGGGGTTAGCCTCAATGACCTAGCTTCGACCCTCGTCAAAATGGCGCCGTTGCCGGGGAATGGTGTCGTGATTGTGTATTGTTTTTGAGTCTATTTCATTTTATTAAAAAACACAAAAAGATTTTCCTTTAGGCTACACTTGTAGCCGTGCTACTAATAATTTCGTTTGAGATTGTGTGCAAGTGAACATGGGAGAAACTCATAGAGTGACGTTGAAGGAGTTGGGCACGCCGGGCGCTTACAAGTATGAGAGCGGGATTGCCCCATTATTGATCCTAGAGGATGATCTTGAAATCAAACCGGCTATGATCACCTTGATTGAGAGGAAACAATATGGTGGTACAAAAAGTGAAAATCCTCTCAACCATCTCAAAGATTTTGAGAAGTATTGTAATACAATCATGGTAGCCGGAGTTGCTAAAGAGTATATAAGGCTTAAGTTGTTTCCCTTTTCTCTCATAGGGAGAGCCTTAGAGTGGTTGGATAAGGAGGTCAAACCAAGGTCCCTAAGGACATGGGATGACGTTACCAAGGCTTTCTTGTCTCGCTTCTACCCACAAAAGAAGACGTCGGAGGCTAGAGCCTTAATCCAAAGTTTTAAGCAATTGCCTAGAGAGAATCTCTATGAAGCATGGGAGAGGTACAAGGATTACTAAAGGGAATGCCCTCACCACGGAATTCCAACCTATCAAGTCATAAAAATTTTCTATGGTGGTTTGAGCTCTCAAGGTAGATCGAGCCTTCATGCCGGAGCCGGAGGGCCGATTATGAACAAAACGGAAGAAGAGGTTGTGGATGTAATAGATGATGTAGTAAGGAACTACATGAATTGGCATGAGGTAGAGATGGAATCGACAAGCACAAGCAACCCAATCGTTCAATCTAATGTCGTCAACAATTTGTCCACATTGGTCTCGGAGTTAGGAAAGGAGGTGATTTCTCTCAAGACCAAGCTCGAGAGTCCTTCACAAGCTTCTAGTCTTCCCTCCCAACTTAAGGGGAGAGGTACATCTTCCTACTCCAACCTTCTTTTTTCTTCTTGTTGCATGATAAGAGAATGCTTGGTTTGTGATTTATGTGGAAAGAATGATCATAATGCTTCTAATTGCTCCAATGTTCCTTGTGATGGATATGAGAATGTGCGTGTGAATTGTGTTGACAATAATGATCATGTACTTAGATTTAATGCTCAAAAGAATGTTGGGAGTAGGAATTGTCACAATCATGGGAGCTATGATAATTATAACCAAAATAGTGGTTATGGTAACCATGTGACCCAAGAGTTTTGTGGTAACCATAATAACTTTTGTTGTAATGATCAAAGCCATGGCCAATAATATGGGGATCATAATCAAGGTTATGGTAACCATAATCAAAATTCCGGCCAAAATCATGGTAGGGGTAATTGGAGTAATCAAAGTAGGGGAGATTTTCAAAATGATGTTCAAAGACGTTCCCCACCCGAATTTACTCCAAAGACTCAAAACCAAGGTAATGATTTCTATGCTCAACAATCCCAAATGAATAGGCTAGAGAATTTCATGATGGCTCAATCCGAGAAGCTGAATGAATTCATATTGTCTTGTAATAAAATGTTTGAGGTCCTATTTACTCATGGAAAGATGCTTGAGAACCAAATCAATGAACTAGCCATCCCTTTGAGAGATTGTGCTAGTCCTCTTTCTTTACCCTCACAAGAAGTTGATTTTAGGGAACCGATGTGTGCTATGACCACTAGGAGTGTTAAGGTCCTTAAAGAGAGTGTTCCTAAGAAGAGTAAGGAGAGTGAAAAGGAGAGTGATTCGAGTGAAGGGAACAAGCATGAAGAGCCTAGCAAGATGAGTGAGGATTCCATGATAAGCCTAAGGAGAAAGAGCGGAAGCAAGATGAGGTTTACAAACCTAGACTTCCTTACCCCCAAAAGCAAAATAGGTATAAATTGGATGAACAATTTGGGAAATTCGTCGAGATGCTTAAGCAACTTCATCTTACTCTTCCTTTCACCGATGTGGTGGAACAAATGCCAAACTATGCTAAGTTTCTTAAGGAAATTTTGAGCGGTAAGAGAGCTTGCAATATGGTGGAACCGGTGAATTTGGGGGAGTGTTTTAGTGCCTTTATTCATAATGACCTACCCCAAAAGTTGAAAGATCCCGGAAATTTCTCCGTACCTTGCAAAATCAAAGGAAAATTGTTCCACAATGCTCTTTGTGATCTTTGTGCTAGTGTTAGCATCATGCCTTATTCCGTTTTCAAGAAACTTAAGCTAGGTGAGCTCCTTCCATCCAACATGACCCTTCAATTGGCCAATCGGTCTATTAAGTTTCCAAAGGGGAGAGTTGAGGATGTTCCTCTCAAGATAGGAGAGTTCACCATTCCCATTGATTTCATTGTGCTTGAGATTGCGGAAGATGACCATATCCCTTTCATCTTAAGAAGACCTTTCTTAACCACCTCGGGAACCTTGATAGATGTTAAGGGAGGTCGTATTACCTTGAGAGTTGGTAAGAATGAGGAAGGTTTTGAGCTAAAACCAACGCATGAGTCTTTGTCTCTTGTGAAAGGAATTATATGTGTTAATTCCCCTCGCCCTATTGATAATGTATGCATGATTGATTTTTCAACTAACAATGTTATTGAGAATTGTGATGATGTGCTTTTGAGTTGTGATTGCAAGAAGGTTAGTGAAGAAAAAACGTAGCTTCCCAAGCTTATGGACGAGGAGGAAATTAACATTCCTCATTGGTTTGAGCTTTACCCTCAAGAGGAGGACGATGACCCCAAGAGTGTGGATGGTGTGAAACCAATTACAAAGAAGAACAAGGCAAAGAAAAGAGCACGAGCTTCTAGGAAAAAAAGAAAGAGAATGAGATTATGGAAAGAGAAGCTTGCTTTTTTGGAGTTATTGAAAGATGTCTCATCAAGCAACAACGAGAAGTTGCTAGAAGTTGAGAAATTTGCTCTTTTCGCCACTTTGAAGAAGGTGGTGTTCTTTGACCTTCCATGATTTGGAGGAAGGGTCGAGCTTAGGACCATAAGCAAGCGCTTCCCGGGAGGCAACCCGGAGATCTCTAAGCTTATCTTTTTTATTTTGAATTTTCTTATTTTCCCTTTTTTAAGTTTCTTTTCTTGCACTTTTCTACTTGTTTGGATTTGTATGTTGGATTCTTGGGATTGGATTTCATCAGGTGAGCATGAGGAATGAGAAGGTGTTTTGCGGTTTTTGATGTGATTACACTCGATATCATCGAAATTTGAGGTAAAAGGGGAAGAATTTTAGTGAGGTAAGATATGGAATTTTGTGCTTTAAAAGTTAAAGGAAGTTTGTTTTTGGTGGGTTCATGTGGTGCTACCATTATTTTGGGATTTTGAACCCACAAAAATGGGGTTTTGCTACTGCCTATGTTGGTGTTTATCATCATCATTATTTGTGTACCCACCAATGAACGCACCAAAGATTTTTTTTTAAAAAAGAAGAGAAATCGGGCAAGGCCAAGTGTGGGCGCGCCAAGGCATGGTGCGGCCACACCCCCTGCCATGCCCCCTTATCTTCCCCTTCCTTCTTTCTTCTTTTCGTTTCCCCTTATTTCCTCCTTCTACCTTCGAACCCCATCATCCTCAAGCACCCATAACCGCACCAAATCCCTTTGAATCCAAATTTTGTAGTCTAGTGTCTTTTAGTTAGCTTGTAGTTTAGTTGGTTACTTAGTTTTTCTTTTCTTTCTCTTTAACTCTTTGTTAGCTTAGTTTAGTGTTACTTTGTAGTTTCTTACTTTTGTTTTGAAGTTACTAACCATTTTCTTTGTTTATAGATTCTTTTGTTTTTCTTTTTCTCACATGGCTTTTTTATGATGCTTACGATTTTGGAACGCAACGACGTTGATTCTTTCTGTCGCCTTTCTTTATTATGCTAAGCATGGATAGCCCGGTGAGACCTTTCTAATTTTTCTCTTTATTTTCTTTGGATGCATAGATTAGGATTAATTTAGGGAAGTTGAACGGTTCGAGGATGATTGCTTGTTAACACGTAATGTGTTTGGGATCGTTGACGATGTTGTCATTCGATCACTTGTATGTTGATTGGGATATATGTGTTTAACTTGCTTTCTAGTTACTTTCTCCATTTTTCTTATTTTTCCTTCTTCTATGACTTTCCTTACCTTTTGTTTTCCTTTATTTTCTTTTCCTTATATTTTCCTTTGTTCTTGTTTTGGTTTGTGGTTTCATTTTGAGGCTTATTTTTCATTTTTGTTTTCCTTATGAGTTGGACTTTGTACATTGGACTTTGTCTTTTGCATGAATTTCTTCCTAGGTAGTAAAGGTATACACGGTTTGAGACTATGTTTGGTTGACTCTAGGATAGGTGTATGCTAGGGTAGTTGGTTTGAACTAGGAGGATCATGAAGCCGGATTCTACTTGTTTGTGGCATGCTTGGTAGTTGCTCCCTATAATCTATTTGACACCATTAGTAAGTTTTTGCTACATCCATGTGAGGATCATCGTTTTTCAAGCCTTCAAACTATTTTGTATGAGCGACGTGGATCCTTGACTTTGCGCACACAATCTATAAAGCTTGATTTATGATTCTTAAACCCGAGACCGAGCTATCTAGGGAGGACAAAGGTCCCTTTTTCGGGGTGGTATTTTTCATTTTTAGGATAGTTTGTTTAATCTTTATTTTTGGGTTTACATTTGCCTTCTTGCAACCATTTGAGTCTATTTCCTTCTTTTCAAGCCACATCTTTAGATCTTTGGCCTTTTGTTTCATTTTCTTTCTTTTCTTGATTTTTGTGAAGCAATTGATCATACTTGATGGAGTTTGTGGTGGAGAAGTTGGAGTATTTGATTCTTATGACAGCAAGATTGTGTTATATCTTCTTTGTGAATAATGGCTTATGAGTATGAGTAAAAGCCGTCCTAAATTATAAAAGGCATGGACAAATAAGTGCAAAATAGAAAAAGCCGTCCGAAGTTGGAAAGAGGCAAGGACAAAGAGTAGCAAACAAGACAAAACAAAAAAAAATTCAAACAGTGAAAAATTCAAAAACATTTTGATGTATTCTTTTCTCCTTCTAAGCATTGAGGACAATGCTTCATTTAAGCTTGTGGGAGAAACGTTTACGCTTTATGTACATATTTCTTGTGAGTATAGCTTTGAATAAGCTTGGTGGTGTACGTATTTTTGTTTGTATTGGTGATTACTTGATTGTGATTCTAAGAAAGGCGCCTTCTTTGCTTCATTATTAGGAAAACCACCAAATTTCAAATTTTAGCCTACCTTCACCATTTATGCCCTTACATTACAACCTTCGGGAAAGACCTTTCAACCTAGAAAGTTGAGTCACTATTCGGGGGAGGGAATCATGGGTCATTGCCTAAGGAAAGGGGATGCATAGTCAAGATTGTCGAGTAGCCTAAATAAATCTCTTTTTCCGGTTCCTTCGAGGAATCATTGGGATGCTCACTAAGGGGAGATTTGAGACTAGTGGGAAGAACGCGGTAAGATCGTCTGGGATGAACGTGGATTGTGATGTCTAGTTCCTATGCCTAGCATACCCTATGTTTTAATCAACCTTGGATATCTTGAAAAGTGCATGCCTTGATTACTTGAGAAAGATTTTCATTCATTTGCATTGTAGTCTCTTTGTAAGTCCATTTTGCAAAGGTTTTGTTTTCCCTTTTCCCTTTTCTTTTCTTTTTACGGTTTTGCCTCTCGGATGTTGGGGGAGAGTTGTGCGTAAACTCTTAGGATACCCTTACGAGACCTCACTCATCCTCATAGGTGATTTTGGGGTTTAAAGGGCTTGTTGTAGCTAAAAGCAACCGTGATTCCTACGACAGTGAGTCTTAGTGTATATTCTCATCTTGAGTCTTTCTTTTTCTTTTTGAATAAGTCTTTCATCCTTATTCTTTCTTTGTTTGTTTTGCTCGAGGACGAGCAAAAGTTTAGCTTGGGGGAATTTGATGAGTATCATTTATGGCACTCATTTGGCTTCCTTTAGGATGATTCTCATGCTATTTATAGCTATTTTCCTTAGTTTTGTTCTTTATTTTGTTAGCTTTCCGTAGCTAGTCTCCTTGTTTTGTGCATTTCTTTGTTTATTTGTTCTTTCCCTTTTATTTGCTAATTTTCGTTTGTTTTCAAGTTATGATCGTTTTTCCAAGGATTCCCGAGTCTTCCTCTTTTATTTCTCATTAATTTGGATGCTTCATGTTCGCCTTTTAGAGCTTCAAGTTTGAAGGAACGCAAGGAGCAAGTCAAGAGATCGGTGCACGCATGCGGTGGGGGCATCATCCTTGAGATGAACCCACCAAAATATCCATTTCAAGACTGCCTACCTTAGTGTTCATCATCATCACCAAGACGAGCGCACGAGGATGAGCTAGGACAAAGAAAGAGGGGAAGTGCCCTGCTGCCAGGTGCGGGCGCGCACGAGGGTGGTGTGGCCGCGCACCTGGGTGGTGCGGGCGCACCATGTTCGGGTGCGGGCGCACCTCCTCTTGCCCCTGTTTCATACCCATTTTCCCGCGGCCGCGCCTCTTCCTTGATGCGACCGCACCTTCCGGGGTTTCTTTTGGGACGATCTAACTACTTCTTCTTTTGTATTTTTTTCTATATATAGTCTTTCCTTCTATTTTTAGAGAGAGAATAATTAGAATAGAATTAGAATTAGTTTTTGATCAAATTAGAGAGATTTTTAGAGAGAGAAACTCTAGGTTTGAGTGAGAGAAATTCATGGTGGATTGTTGATGATTGAAGCTTTCGTTAATTCCTTTGATCTTTGATCAAGATTGTAAGATTTCCTTTTCTTTATTTCAATCTTTAGTTTGATCTTTAGTTTGATTTCATTTGTTTTGTTGAATGTTCAAGTTTGATTGATTTGTGATTTGATTTTAGTTTGTTCAATTTGATGATGATGAATTTGTTGTTTTGCTTTGTTTTGATCTTGATTTCTATGGATTGTGAGTAGTTAGATTGCTAGGGTAATGGTCAAGCATGTATGAGTAATGGATTAATGCTACTTGGGGAAAATTGATGGAGTTGATGATGTGATTAAATTTGGTTGATGATCATGTGCATGTGTGTGATTAATTAAAGAGTAGCTAACTTTAATTGTTGCACTAGATTGCATTGTGAGTTCACATTGATACGGACCATTGATTTGTGGCTTGCATTTACACAATTGAGGTGTCTTGTGATGTTTACTAGCTAGAGTTTATCGTAGTTGACGCTAGTTAGACCTCTAGGAGAATAGCTTGATATGCTATTTTGGTTGCATGATTGATCTTCCCTCACATTGCTTGACTTAGCCAATTTGACCTCCCAATTAGTTGAATCCATTATGACTACATGTGATTCCTTGCCCTAGTGCTTATTGCATTTGCTTTCTTCTCGTTTATTTGCCGAGTTTGTCCTAGTATAGAATTCATACCTTATTTCTAGACTTCGGGATAGCTTGACTATAGACAATAGACAATAGTCCACCATTCCTTTGGGTTCGACCCTTGACTTACCATATACTAGTATAGGGTTGGTTAAGTGTTTATAAATTTTGTTCGACCTTGGGTAGGGGTTAGCCTCAACGACCTAGCTTCGACCCTCGTCAGCTGGAATTGTTTGGATGAGCTGTAATTGTTTGGATGAGCAATCCATGTGTTCATAATCCATGTGTACATTGAAAGATTAAATGTGATTGATC